TGCGTGCCGCAGTTTCCGGAGTTCCTCACTCACATCCTGTACATGCATCATGATCACGTCACCGCCGGGCATAGGGGCCAAAAGAAGACCTACAAGGCCCTCAGCAAGCGTTACTATTGGCCCGGCATGCGTACTTACACCAACGCGTACGTGGAGTCCTGCACGCAGTGTCGCGCAGCCAAATCACTTAATCAAAAACCTGCCGGCCTCTTACAACAGCTGCTTATTCCCTCGCGCAGGTGGAGCCATGTCAGTCTAGATTTCATCACCGACTTACCCCTCACCTCCTCTGGGCACGACGCAATTCTGGTCGTTGTTGATTCTCTCAGCAAGATGGCGCACTTTATTCCGGCCAAGAAGTCCCTCACAGCCGCTGACACTGTAGAGCTCCTTGCTGACCGCCTCATCCGTTACCACGGCTTTCCCGAAGTCCTCATTTCCGACAGGGATCCACGTTTCCAATCTGAAGTTTGGTCGCAACTATGCTCGCGTTTTAATATTACCCGGGCGATGTCCTCTTCTTACCATCCGCAGACGGATGGCCAGACCGAGCGAGTTAACCGCACCCTTGAACAGATGCTCCGCACGTACATCCAGGCAGACGAGAGGGAGTGGGAAGGCCTGCTGCCTGCTTTGGAGCTGGCGTATAACACCACCAGTCATTCCTCTACTGAGCTTTCCCCTTTCGAAATCATGATTGGGGAGAATCCCCTAACCGCTGCGGATCTAGAAATTGTTGGTGCTTTGGCTCCTACGCTCACTCCCCCTATGACGAAACTCTTCCAGCGCCTCTGTGACCGCGCGCGGAGTCACATCCTGCAGGCAAAGTGGCGTCAGAAATACTACGCCGACGCTCGCCGTAGGGCTGTGGAATATAAGGTGGGCGACCAAGTCTGGCTTAGTGCCAAACACTTGCCTGCTCTTAACCATTGTTCTAAGTTTGAACCCCGATACCGGGGGCCCTTCACTGTGACTGAACGCATTGGCACGGTCGCTTACCGTCTTGCTCTGCCCCCCACATACGAGGGACACAATGTTTTCCATGTTTCACTATTGGTTCCCCATCACCCCCGTGATCCCGCTTTGGTTCCACGCGAAGCTCCAGTGGGCTGGCCTCCAACACGCGACGACGCCGGCAACCCTACGGACCAGTAACTTGTCGACTATATCATGGACCAACGAGGGACTGGAGAGGAGGCACAATATCTTGTTAAGTGGAGGGGCGCCCCCGAGGAACGGGCCACATGGGAACCCGCTCACCATTTGGCAGGGTGCCCCGCCTTACTTCGGGCCTGGCGTCGCCGCCAGCGCAGACGCCTTCCGTCCTGATGACGATATGCTTCTTCTTCTCCTCTTCCCGCTGCTCTCGTCCTTCATATTTACACGTTCGCCGCCCGTTCTCGTCCGGAAAGGGGGGGGAACGGGTGCTAGAGCACCTTACAATCCAAGACTCTACCAGCTGTTCGCGTTCTAGGAACTATCGAACCAGCATCAGGCTAAGGGAGGGCTGGACGACTGCTAGGGGACTATAGGACGCCGAGGACACCGACCTTTACGAGTCGAGGGGCTGGGTAAGGAGTCAGAGTGGTCGGAGAATGATGCCGCCCCCGCACCTGCCGAGACTCGTGAAGATAGGCCTAATTCTTAGTCAAAGAAGGCTGACCGGCTTGACGTGTTAGCCAAGGGCACACACCCCTGACGTGCGGGACGTCCTGAGGTTGTCGTGATGCGGGATGAACGGAGAGATTGAGCAGAAGAAAGGCCGGGAACAACAGCAAAAACAAAAAAATATATATATAATAATAAATAAAACAGCCAAGCGGTTTCGGTTCGCTAGCAGGGGGGGAAGTTGTAGTGCCGGGCACTACAATTGACCCTCGTCGCTACACCCGAGACTTACTGACGCGAAAAGCATGAGTAATATCGAATATATACTTAGGCATAAGGCACCGTAGGATAGTTGAAAATCATAAGAGAGAACAATGGGCTCGTTAGCCCGCACCGGGTGCGAGGTTGGTTGCGAGGTTGGTCGCGAGGTTGGTGCCGCGACGCGACTCGGGCACTGACCCTCGGCGAAGGTCAGCTCTCAGTTCTATTATTCTGGGTTTTCTTACCTCAATAATATGAACTCAATTGTACGGGGTTAACCAAGGTTTTCCATAGTTGTTGACTATAGTCAGGTACCTACGACCGACTGTGCCGAGACA